AGACAGAACCTGTCCAAGTATATATAGAGTGGAGAATGTGAAAGCCAATTAATTGTTAATCAATATTCGATTCACGCAGAACAACGATAATGACGCACTCTAAAAATGATTAGCCGTCAATCTTCCTCTATTACAACAAAAATCCAATTAACCGCGCGAAAAACTTGATATCTGAATGTCAAGAATTTGAAAAATTCTCACATTAATTATTATTTTTATTTATCATTAGAAAAAAATTTAAATATGAATTTATATTTCCGTATTTTCATTCCAATTTGAGAAAACTTGTTTTATCAAGTTTTTGATGATTTCGCGCGCTGGATTATATAAAAGGAAAAAAAAACCTCGGGAAATTGATTCACACAAGTTTTCCCCTCGAAGCGAATATCTTTGACATGCAATGTTTTTATTTTGAAATGGGAAAAAATGGGAAGAGAGAGAGAGAGAGAAGAAAAGTAGATCGACGTGATCATAACTTTCGCGTTTAAATTTGAAGTCTAGAAAATGATCTATAAATTCATATCCTGGAACATTAAAAGTTTTATATTAGTATTTGATGTTAATTATGACAACGATGCTCATTTTTCAGTCGACGATAAATATTTATTTTAGGATAAGTGCCTTTTCAGGTGTTTTTTCTTATTTTTTTTTTTGTTTGGACGAAACGATAATTCCGGTAATTTCGAATTCATTTTCTTAATGAATAATGCGATTCGTTTTTTTTTACTATTTTTCATTTTTACCACTACTACTAACTTACTACTTTTGTTACGTTATGCTACTATTTCTGTTTTTTTTTTTTTTTTTTTTTTTTTTTTTTTTTTTTTTTTTTTTTTTTTTTTGAGAATTACCACTACTTTAAATTCGCTAATACTAGAAATCAAAAAGCTATTCTCAAAAATTATAATCAAATTCTTTAAAACGATTCAATTATTATCAAAAAAATATTCGAAATTCAATTATTTTTCAATATCTAGTATTTTCATAAAAATTCGCAAAAAAATTCAGTTTAAAAATAAAATGATAAAATTCATCCAAAATTCAATTATTTTTATAAATAATAAAAATTCCACAGGCATTCAATTAATTTATAATAACTTTTAAAAAATTTCGAAAAAATCAATTATTTCACAAAATTTTTATTCAATTCTTCACAATAATTCAATTACTTTCACTACCTAATAATAACATTTTTCATGGAAATTCAATTTATTAAAAAAAATTTTGATAAAATTCTAAGGAAGAATTCAATTATTTTCATAAATAATAAAACTCATAGAAAAATTTCAATTATTTTTTAATTCTGTTTTAAATTAATAAATCGAAAAATTCAATTATTTCCCTAAATAAGGTTTTCCACAAAAATTCAATTAATTAAAATAAATTTCAATTACTTTTAATACAATTTTACAGGAATAGCTCAAAATATGTAATTATTTTTGAAAATTTAATTTCAATTCCTCGAAAAAATTAATTATTTAAAAAAATATTTGTTTTAAATTCTTTGGGATGAATTCAATCGTTCAATTGTTTACAAAAATATTAGAATTTTTCTCAGAAATTCAATTATTTTCAAATATTTTAATAAAATTGTTCACAAGAATTCAATTATTTACATAAATAATTTTTCGAAAGAATTCAATAATATCGATAAATAACAAATTTATTCACGAAAATTAAATTATTTTGGGGCATTTAAATAAAATTAAATTATTTTCTCAACTAACAATATTCATCACAAGAATTCAATAATTTTTAAGAGCATAATAAATTTCTTTTCAGAAATTCAATTTCTTTTAAAAATTCTAATAAAATTGTTCGCAAGAATTCAATTAGTTACAAAATTATAAGAATTTTTCACATGAATTCAATTATTTTCAAATATTTTAATACAATTATTCCAAAGAAATCAATTATTTTAAATACATTTTTATCTACAATTTTAATTAGAAAAATATTAGAATTTTTCCCAGAAATTCAATTATTTTCAAATATTCTAATAAAATTGTTCGAAAGAAATCAATTATTTTAAATACAATTTTAAATATTTTAATTAAAATTTTTTTTTAAATAATTCAATTATTCTTTTAGATTTAATAAAATTCTTTCCAAGAATTCAATTATTTACATAAATAATTCTTCGAAGATTCTATTATTTTGAGGCATTTTAATAAAATTCTTTGCAAAATTCAATTATTTGTTCATAAATAACAATATTTATCACAAGAATTTAATAATTTTTAAAAGCAATAAATTTCTTTTTGTAAATTCAATTATTTAAAAAAATTCTAACTAAATCGTTCGCAAGAATTCAATTATTTACAAAAATATTAGAATGTTTGACAGGAATTAAATTATTTTCAAATATTTTAATAAAATTGTTCAAAAGAAATCAATTGTTTTAAATACATTTTTAATTACAATTTTAATTAGAAAAATATTAGAATTTTTCACAGGAATTCAATTATTTTCAAATATTCTAATAAAATTGTTCGAAAGAAATCAATTATTTTAAATACAATTTTAAATATTTTAATTAAAATTTTTTTTTAAATAATTCAATTATTCTTTTAGATTTAATAAAATTCTTTCCAAGAATTCAATTATTTACATAAATAATTCTTCGAAGATTCTATTATTTTGAGGCATTTTAATAAAATTCTTTGCAAAATTCAATTATTTGTTCATAAATAACAATATTTATCACAAGAATTTAATAATTTTTAAAAGCAATAAATTTCTTTTTGTAAATTCAATTATTTAAAAAAATTCTAACTAAATCGTTCGCAAGAATTCAATTATTTACAAAAATATTAGAATGTTTGACAGGAATTAAATTATTTTCAAATATTTTAATAAAATTGTTCAAAAGAAATCAATTGTTTTAAATACATTTTTAATTACAATTTTAATTAGAAAAATATTAGAATTTTTCACAGGAATTCAATTATTTTCAAATATTCTAATAAAATTGTTCGAAAGAAATCAATTATTTTAAATACAATTTTAAATATTTTAATTAAAATTTTTTTTTAAATAATTCAATTATTCTTTTAGATTTAATAAAATTCTTTCCAAGAATTCAATTATTTACATAAATAATTCTTCGAAGATTCTATTATTTTGAGGCATTTTAATAAAATTCTTTGCAAAATTCAATTATTTGTTCATAAATAACAATATTTATCACAAGAATTTAATAATTTTTAAAAGCAATAAATTTCTTTTTGTACATTCAATTATTTAAAAAAATTCTAACTAAATCGTTCGCAAGAATTCAATTATTTACAAAAATATTAGAATGTTTGACAGGAATTAAATTATTTTCAAATATTTTAATGAAATTGTTCAAAAGAAAATAATCAATTGTTTTAAATACATTTTTAATTACAATTTTAATTAGAAAAATATTAGAATTTTTCACAGGAATTCAATTATTTTCAAATATTCTAATAGAATTGTTCAAAAGAAATCAATTATTTTAAATACAATTTGAATTAAATTTTTTTTGCAATCAATTATTTTTTTAGATTTAAATAAAATTCTTTCCAAGAATTAAATTATTTACATAAATAATTCTTCGAAAGAATTCAATTATTAAAGATAAATAACAAAATTATTCACGAAAATTCAATTATTTTGGGGCATTTTAATAAAATTCTTTGCAAAATTAAATTATTAGTCCATAAATAACAGTATTTTATTACAAGAATTAAATGATTTTTAAAAGTAATAAATTTTTGTCTTGGAAATTCAATTATTTTAAAAAATTCTAATAGAATCTTTTGCGAGAATTCATTTATTTTCATAAATAATAAAATGCTTTTTAAGAATTCATAAAATTTTCTAACAGTATTCAAGTATTTAAAAAAATTTTCGTAAAAATCTTCGTAAAAATTAAATTTTCTTTTTATAAATAATAAAAATTTCTCTGGAATTCAATTATTTAAATTAGAATTTGCATGAAATTCGTCGAACGAAATCAATTATTTAAAAATTTTTATGAAATTCTTCGCAAGAATTAAACTATTTTTACAAATATTTAAATTCATTTATGAATAATAAAATTCGTTGCAGGAATTAAATTTATTAGCAGGATAAGAAGGAAGTAAATATTTTTTAATGAAAATTAGGCGAAAGTCAGGAAAATAAAATATAGAATGGAATTTTTTGGCAGTTTTCTAAAGTGTCTAAATCAAGTTTTTTTTGTCGTCAAGTTTAATTTTTCGATAGCTACTTTTTTACTCCTTTTTGTAGTTTAAAAAGCTACTTTTGCTATTTTTTAAAAATTTAAATTAAAATTTTTTTTCAAAATTATCGAGTGCGAAGTCTGCATTTACTTTTTCATTTTATTTCGTTTTTTCTAATCAAAATGTTATTTTTCTTTTGTACAGGGTTAAATTAACTCGAAAAGTGGGGGAGAATTCGACATTTAAAATACTTCTTTTAAAAGGAGAGGGAGAGAGTGAGAGAGAGAGGAGTCTTCGTAAATAATTCGAAGCTCTGCATAAATAACAAGTCGAGATCGTATATTTGGTGGATGTCTCTCAGGAGAGTTTGCTTTCTGGAAAAAAAAATGCTTGGCCCAGAATTGGAGGTCAGCTTTCGAACTTGTTACATTCAATTCGAAATAGAAGTCACGTCGATTTTAATTGCAACCGTAAAATATCAATATTTTGGTGTCGATTCTTTGGATTCTTAATCTGCAGTCAGAAGTTATTCTCTATCATTACTTTCGAATTAATCATCACAATTTAATGTCTGGGATTCCAATTTGTCTACGATTATTGGATTAGGATCATCATCATTAGAATCATAATTATCGTCATTATCATCTTCATTATTATCATCATTATCATCATTATCATCATTGCCATCATTATCATCAAGAGTATAGTATCAATATCATAAACAGTATTTCATCATCAATTTTCCTATCAAATATTATTTTTTGTATTATTATCTAAAATTTCATTTTTTATTTTTTATCTTGATCTTAGAACGGCGAATTCAAAATAAGAAGAACGCAGTCGCAAGTTTTTGGTGAATCGTCGTCGTCACGAGCAATAGAAGCACCTTCACGTTAGCGACGTGTAGATGTCTCCCCCGGAACTTGCTCGAGGGGAAGAATATTGTCAATTTTCGTCAGTCGTTGATATTTTGCCGTTGTGAGAAGTAATTCTTGCCAAGTGCATTTTTACGCATTTGATTTTACTAAAGGAGACAAAAAAGAAAAAGAATCTGTGGTAGGTGAAAAATTGCGTGAAATCCTTTCGTTCTCTCAAACGGAAGTTTATCGACTTGCGCCGAAGCAATCGTGCTCGGTTATTCCCGCAAATCCTCGGTTCGTCCTTTTGTCCTCTCGACAAAACTCCTGTGTGTCTCTCTCTCTCTCTCCCGTTTTTCTCTCACTATCAGAATGTTTCATTCCCTATCCCGATTCTCCTGATCATGGTGATTCGGTGACGTTCTTTTTTTCATTGCCTCCTCGATTCGAGTCAAGATCATCATCGAAAAAAAATTATTCCCAAAAAATTGAATTTTGTCCCATGAAATCAGTGTTTTTTTGCAAAAACCAACTTCGAGACGTGATCATCGAATCCAAGGACCAGGTGACCCTGTATTGAAAAATATTTCGTCTTTTTTTTTTTTTTTAGTTTCATTATTCGTTATTTTTTTCTCAACTTCGGATTATTTTTTAATAATTTGAAGTGTAATTTTTTACACTTGGAGATTATTTTAATTATTTATTAAAAAATAGTTTCGTATTTTGAAGGCAGTGAATTAATTTTTTTTTTTACAAAGTGGTAAAAAATTAAAGTGTTTTTGTCATTTTTATCTAGTTGGAAAAATTTAGTGAACGTTTCCCCTTTGATTTATTCGAATTAAATATTTTTTTTTATCGCAGTATAAATGACGAATCATATATATTATAAGGACAGGGATACACGTGGTGTTTGCACTTGCGCGCAAAATGAAACAAGCTATTGATTTTCCCAACTCCTACACCTTTCTCTTCGTTTAGAATTTGCTTTTCCACCTTCTTCTCTCTCTGTATGACCATGTTGTACATTATACCATCACCACCACCACCCCCCTCGAGATCTTTACTTGCAAACTTCCTTATCGGTTAACAAATATCGATCTCACAATCAATATAAATATTCCTCACTACTTGTCCTTTTCAAGATCATTCTGCCATGAAGAAAATGAAAAAAAAGATCACTGTCGAAAGTTCATTGGAGCAGAATTGATTTAAACTCGTTCTTTTTTCGAGTGAACAAATCTCTCTCTCTCTCTCTCTCCTTCTCTCTCTCTATCGGGAAGATATAATGTATATATATATATTGCTAAATATTGTGCAACGACTGAGAAAATTGAATCAAAAAGTAGGGGGAGAATTTTATTCTAAACAATAGTGTTGTAACAATTTCTCGTCAGATTTTTTTTTCTCCTTGACTTTTTACCAATTCATCGTCGAATTTATTTATCCATTCATGATATTTTCATTATCTCTTAATAATTATATAAATTATAATTAATAAAAATTATTTTATTATTAATATAATTGTAAAATAATCCTAAAATTTAACTTTCGATAAATTCTTTCCGAATTGGTAAAATTTATTTATATTGATTGAAATTGAAACGGTTGACATTGAAAATTTTCAAAGAGAACAACTGAACGTTTCCAAACGTTTCAATTTTTTGGGTTTTTTTTCAAGCAACTCTTTTTCGTTTTTTTTTTTTTGGTTTTGCATTTATATTGTTGTATAACTTATTTATCATTCATGAAAATCGTGACATTAGTGGAAGTTGAAAATAAAAAATGATGTAAATCTTGTGTTTGAAAAAATAATAATAGATGATGCAAATCTCGTAGCTTAAAAGAAAGAGTAGGTGATGTCAGTCATGAGCAAAAAAGATTGAAAAACAGTTGATGAAAAACTATGATTCAATAATTAATTTTAGAAAATCTGAATTAAATAATAAATATAATATTAAATTTGAAAATAAATTTAATTAGGAAGAATAATATTAAATGGAAATTAAATTAAAATAGGAAGAATAATACTAAATTGAAAAAAAAATTAAATCAGGAAGAATAATATTAAATGGAAATTAAATTAAAATAGGAAGAATAATACTAAATTGAAAAAAAATTAAATCAGGAAGAATAATACTAAATTGAAAAAAAATTAAATTAGAAAGAATAATATAAAATTAAAAATAAATTAAATTATGAATAATAATAATTAAGAATGATTTCTATTAAGAACTCTTGACTATTAATACGACCGAGTCGACCGAGTGAAAGAATATATCTTATTTTTCAATAATATTGTTAAATTAAAATAAAATAGAATTAGGAATGATAATAATAGAACAAAAGAAAAAAATATTTTTTAATATAATATAAAATATAAAATAAAATATTTTTATATTTTTTAATTATATTAATAAATATTTTAATAATAAATTTTGAAAAAAATTGAGTAAAAGATTGTTTTTTTTGACGACATTTTTTTGTCTTTGCAGGAAACTGAGAGAGCGGACAGCGTTGTCGTCCGCTTGAAAAAGTAACGTCGAGGAGTCGACGTTGAAGAAAGACATTTAGGTGTCAACGAAAAGGTTAACAGGAAAGAGGGACAGTAAATTGCAGCAAATATGCCGGCCCCAACGACAGCAGAAGCGCATGGCGAGCCAGGCCCGCCGAAGACGGAACTTCAGGAATTGCAAATCAAATCACAGCAAACGGCAGATGAGGTGAAAAAGAAAAAAAATTCACTATTTTCGTAATTAAAACAAGAGGCGAAATAAATATATATACTAAAGGAAAGAAAAATAAATCGTTATCTCTCGTAAAATTATTCAGGAAAATTAACTATTTCGTCATTTATTTTCTAAATTATTTTTAATTTTTTTTTATTGATATTTATTTTAATTATTTTTCCAAATTTTTATAAATTTTATTTATTTATTTATAAACGGGACACTTCATTTTTGTTCATCAATTTTTATTGAAAGCCAGGGTGGTCACATGTCAGTAAAGTGAGCAAAGTCAGGGAATTATCAGTAAAACAAAATTTTTGTCAGTAAAGTCAGGGAAATATCAGGAAAAAATTTTTTTTCTGGGAAATTTAGAAAATTGAGATTTCTTTCTACTTATTTTCAAAAATTGTGACTTTTTCGACTTTTCTTCCAAATATTGCAACAAAATAATACATTTTTTTAAAAAATACAACTTATTTCGATTTTTATAGTGCGAAAAATAACTAAACAAATCTTTCAAAAATTATTTTTGAATCATTTTTCTATTTAAATTTTCGAAATATACAATTAAAAAGATTTTAAATAAATGAAATTTTCTTAAATTTAATTGAAAATAATTAATTTTTTTCAAGTATTTTGTTAGAATTTTTGAAGAATTTTAATTGCAAATTTTCAAATTAATTGAATTAACAAAAATTTTGATGAACAATCTTTAAACGTAAATTTAAAAATGAAAATTAATAAAAATTAGCTTGTAATTTTTTTAAATTTAGTATTTTTAGTACTTTCAATAACATAATTTCAGAAAATTCAATACAAAAACTTCTTTTAAGAAATTTAATTGTTTTCGAAAAATTACATAAAAATAATTTTTAAAAACTACTTAATTCTTAGAATTTTTTTATCATAATTTTTTAAGATTTAACTACCTTCGAATAAAGGAAATAAAAATTTAATTTTTTGGACTTATTAAAATTTCTGGGAAATCGTGATCATATTTATAATTAAAATTATTTAAAAATTTGATTATTTTTAAAAATATTGTATACAATTATTATAAAAAATTGAATTTTCGTATTTAAATAATTTAGTTCTCGAAGAACTTTTGGAAAACTATTTAAAATAATTGATTTGGAGATGAAGTTTAGTTGAAAATTATAGAAAATAATTGAAATTCAGGAAGGGTTAGAATTGTAATTTTTAGAAATTATTAAATTTCATAAATTTTACTTATTTTCCGTAAACTTTTAATATTTTCCTGTAAAAAGAATTTTGTCAGGGAAAATAATTTTAATGACAGTAAATTGTCAGGAAAATGTCAGGGAAATTGATAAACTGAAACTTGTGACCTTGTTCTTTTCTTGAAATTTACATTTTTTTTACCTAATTACATTTTTAGAAAGTTTTTCTAAATTGAAAAAGTTTTTTGTCTATTTTTTTTCTATATTAATTTTTTCCCCTATTTTTCTACAATGGAATTTTTATTTTATTTCGAAAAGTTTTTTTCTCAGTAAAAAAATCTGTTTCTTATCTGGAATTTTTTTTCTCCACAATATCGGAAATTCAATAATTTCACTGATAATTTTTGTTTAGAAACACTAATAGCTGAAAGAGTCTTGAAAAAAAAAATTGAGAGGAAAACTTTAAACGAATTTTTATCTTTTCAATTTAATCTCCAGACTCTTTTTTTTGTAACTTGAAAAAAAATTAATAAGGCCGTCATTTTTTTTCTATTTTGTTGAGAATTTTCCTTATTGTTTTCTATTTTTACTATTTTTTTTCTATCTTATTCTATTTTTTTGTATATTTTTTTATTTCATTTTTATATATATATTTTTTTTATTTTCATTTTTGTATTATTATTTTGTTTCAAAATTGTAAAAAGATGTAAAATTTTGTAGAATTTTCTCTTTATCAGAAAAAGGTATCATTTTTATTATTCAATTCGGGGAATGTAAACGAAACGTAAATTTTAATTACATAAAGTCGGATAAATTGCGTTAAAACTGAAACACGTTTCAGTAATTAGGCCAACAATATGTGAAGCATCTTTGATTTTGAAATCTAAATTATTAATTTAATTATTTGATTAGATTAGAGAATAAATTGAATAATTAAATTATTTCTATTAATTTATCGATTAATATAATTGAATTTTTATCCGTATTATATTTTGAATTTTTATTGTGTTTTTATTGTATTTTTTTCTATTTTTTGAATAGAATAGAAATAAAAAAAAAATAAATAAATCAGAAATAAAATTGAAAATAGTGGAAATGAAGTCAACAATAATTTATATTATTCACTATTTATTTTACCATCTGGTCAGTTTTTATTCTGGATTTTTATTACAATTCCGTTTAATTAATATTTCGAAAGAATTAAATTAAAAAATTAGTAATTAAAATATATTACTATGGAATCTGAATTTGAAATTTCTTTCTCTTCTTTAATTTTGAAGCTGATAATTGCAATTTCTTCTTCGTCTCGATAACTTGAGATGATTACTTAGAATCGATATCATAAAAATTATTACTTGGCCTGGAATATACACTTGTGTGTATATATGATACTCGAACATTTTTAGCACAAAGTGTTCTTTTCTCCCCCGGTTATTCGCAAAAAAAGTCGATGGAAACATTGGAATTTATGGAATAAAATGAGAAAAAAAACTCTATCGATTATAATATTAATTCTCGTCATAACTGCCAATTAATTGCTTTTTCAAAAATTAATCATGTTTCTAATTTTTTCGAATCATTATTAAAATAATTTTGAATCATCGTAAAAATAAAAAATCAAACATTAAATTAAATTTTAATAATTTATTCAATTCTTAATTTATTTTAATAATTCAGTTAATTAATTTAGAATAATGTTTAATAATTAAAATAATGTTTGCAATATTAATTAAAATTGTCTTTTCTTTTTGAAATTTTCAGTCGCTGGAGAGTACGAGACGAATGTTGTCGTTATGCGAGGAGGTAAGTCAAATAAAAACAAAACAAAAAAAAAATGCTGGAAATTTTTTCTATCTCTCGTATATTCTATAATTGTCTTTGAAATCGGGACTTGAAAGCTTTACAAGGCTCGTCGCCTCGACGTCCTGTTTAAATCACTAATCGCATGTCGAGCACATCGCATTCCTGCTCTGCTTTGAATTAATTAATATGTAACGCTATTCTATTCAATTCGAAATGAATTCAACTCTTAATTGAACTCAAATCAAAACTTTTTTATTTTTTTTTATTTTTTTTCTTTATTGAAAAGACGTCGAGCGATCAGCGATTGAAAAGCTATAGTACAAAATGTTTAATCATTGCAATAAAGAGCTGATAATTTTGAAGCGACACGGACGACACGATTTTTTGTATTAAAGCCGAAAGAAAAATTTTTTACTGGAGTAAAGTTTCAAATTTAATTGTTATTTTAAATGAAATTTAATATAATTTCATTTCATTTAATTCAATTTATTTAATTTTATGATTTTAAGTAATAAAATTAATAATTCTTAATTATTGGATATTAATTTTTAATTAGATCCAATTTTTGTATTTTAATATTTCTATTTATTTAATTATTTTATTCATTACAATATATTCTAATTTATCTAAATTTTTATTTCTATTTCTAAATTTTCATATCTATTTTTATTTTTCTATTTTCTTAAAATTAATTTCTTAATTTTTATGTAATTAGATGCAATTCTTATGTTTTAAATACATGTTTTAATTTCCTGATTCAATTTTTATTTTAATTTTCTGATTCAATTTTCTGTTTTAATTTTCTATTTTAATTTTCAATTTAAATTTCTGTTTTAATTTTTAGTTCCAATCTTCTATTTTAATTTTTTGTTTCAATTTTCTGTTTTAAATTTCTATTTTAATTTTTGTTCAAATTTTCTGTTTTAATTTTCCATTTTTATTTTTTGTTTCAATTTTATGTTTTAATTTTCTGTTTCAATTTTCTATTTTAATTTTCTGTTTCGATTTTCTATTTTAATTTTAATTTTTTGATTTTCAATCTAAATTTCTGTTTTAATATTCTATTATTAATTTTCTGTTTTAATTTTTAGTTCTAATTTTCTATTTTAATTTTTTGTTTAAATTTTTTGTTTTAAATTTCTATTTTAAATAAATAAATAAATTTAAATTTTTGTTTCAAGTTTCTTGTTTAATTTTCTGTTTCAATTTTCCCTTTTAATTTATTGTTGCAATTTTCTGTTTTACCTAATTTTCTGTTTCAATTTTTTATTTTAATTTTCTTTTTCAAATTTCAATTAAATTTCAGTTTTAATTTTCTGTTTCAATTTTCAATTTAAATTTCAGTTTTAATTTTCTATTTTAATTTTCTGATTTAATTTTTAGTTCCAATTTTTTATATTAATTTTTTGTTTAAATTTCTGTTTCAATTTTCAATTTACATTTCAGTTTCAATTTTCTATTTTGATTTTCTGATTTAATTTTTTGTTCAAATTTTCTATTTTAATTTTTTGTTTCAATTTTCTATTTTAATTTTTATTTCAATTTTCTTGTTTAATTTTTCATTTTAATTTTTTGTTTCAATTTTCAATTTAAATTTCAGTTTTAATTTTCTATTTTAATTTTGGTTTCAATTTTCTTGTTTAATTTTTTTGTTTAATTTCTTGTTTAATTTTTTGATTCAATTTTCTGTTTCAATTTTCTATTTTAATTTTCAATTCAAATTTCTGTTTTAATTTTCTATTAAAATTTTCTGTTTTTATTTTTAGTTCTAATTTTCTATTTTAATTTTTTTTGTTTTAATTTTCTGTTTCAATTTTCAATTTAAATTTCAGTTTTAATTTTTTTTTTTTATTTTCTGATTTAATTTTTAGTTTCAATTTTTCATGTCAATTTTCTATTTTAATTTTTTGTTTCAATTTTCTTTTTTAATTTTCTATTTCAATTTTTTGTTTCACTTTTTCATTTCAGTTTTCTATTTCAGTTTTCCATTTATCACAATTTTGTGAATTTAATGTTCAATTTTAATTTCAAATAAAAATTGGAAATAAAAAAAGTTTAATATTGGAAATAAATTAAATTTGAATTTTAATAAGAAATTTATTTTAATGCCAGAAAAATCGCGGCAAAAAAAATGTTTAACTACAATTCGTTGTCCTTGTTGCGGAAAAATTGCTCAAAAGGTTTTTAGGTTTAAGGATTCTTATTTATTTAATTTTTTTTTGAGCAGACGACGACACCACTTTTTAAAAAAAAAAAATGAATTGTCGTCGTCTCTGTTTCCAAATTACGATGCGATTTTGGAAAACAAAAAGAAAACCTGCGTCCGTAATATATAAGAGCGCGTTTATCCTCCGTTATGAAGGATTCGTCTTCTATAGGGCCCACTGCATTTGCATCCTGTTTCTGTGTACCTTCCTCATTATGTGATTTCATCGACTGTTCCATAAATATCGACGTCAGTGTGAAAAGATATGAACCCCCCTTGTTTTTTCTTTTTTTTTTTGCATCCGTTTTTTGACCTTATATTCCGTGGCACACCCTAATTGATCCTTTTGTGTGTAATTTTTTTTTTTTTTGTATGTGTTCACTGTTCTTTCAAATGCTCCTATTTTTAACCCTCTCTCTCTCTCACTTCTTTCACTCCACTTTTTATATATTCTCTCAGCGAGCAATAAAACGTCGACGAGCGTAGGATGACTATATATTTTTATCATAAGGGTTGGGGGTGAATCTTCTTTTGTCGTCCCCCCTACTTTTTTTTATTATCTCTTTCTCTATATTTCTCATCCCTTATTTTTTTATCATTCATTTCTATTTTTCGGCTCGTTATTTTTTGCCTCGTTCTTTTTCTCCGCTCGTATTTTTTTCGTTGGGATTTTTTTACTTTTCTTTATTTTTTCTCCATGTTTTTATTTGTTTTTCGCTATTTTTCCATCTTTTTATTTTTTTTCTTTATTTTTTCAACTTTTCTTTATTTTTTGTTTTTTTTTTGCTATTTTTTCGTCTTTTTATTTTTTTTTTTTACTATTTTTTCATCTTTTTATTTTTTTTTGTTATTTTTTCACATTTTATTTTCCTTTTTCTTATTTTTCCATTTTTTCTCTATTTTTTTGTCTCCTTTCATTTTGCTCCTACTTTTCCATTTTTGTTTATTTCTTCATTTCTCATGTTTTTTATTTCTTTTTTTTCATTTTCGTCTTATTCTTCTAAACTTTTGAGTTTCAGATTATATATAAAGTATTGGCAGTAAAATTCTCTGGGACGAAGAACTTTGAAAGAAAAAAGAAAAGAAAAAAAAATGAAAATGAAAAATGTGGGGGAGTACATTGATCCAGTAATCGTGAATAAGAGGGACTGATAAGAACGATAAGGACGCAAGAAGCTGGTATCGAAAGTGGAAGCGTTGAATGACCTTTGAACCGTAAATAGCCTTTCTGATACAGTGAGGGGGAAGGAGACATTAGCCGCACTTGTCTCATTGATTTTTCTAAGGGCTCTAAGACTCGCAAGTTTGCATTAATTTTTAGATTCACTATCTAATCTGTTATCAACATATAAACACTTTTAGTGGAAAAAGGAAATATCGACAATTTGTCAGAGAAAATTTTCTTCTATAATTATTATATCAGGCTTCGCTCTCAACTACTGAATCCTAATATTTACTACTTTTTTTACGTTATGCTACTATTTGAGTACTTTTTTTTAGATTTTAGCCACTAAAAGATACTATTTCTGTTTTTTTTTCGAGAATTTCCACTACTTTAAATTCGCTAATACTAGAAATCAAAAAATTATTCTCAAAAATTATAATCGAATTCTTTAAAATGATTCAATTATTTTTAAAAAATATTTGAAATTTAATAATTTTCAATATCTAGTATTTTAATAAATATTCGCAAAAGAAAAGAATTCAAAAAGAAAAGAATTTAATTGTTTAAAAAAAAAATTGATAAAATTCATCCAAAATTCAATTATTATCATAAATAATAAAATTTCCACAAGAATTCAATTAATTTAGTTAATTGAATTAGTAATTAATTTAATTAATATATTTTCAACAAAATTTCGAAACAATCAATTATTTAACCAACTTTTTATACAATTCTTCACAATAATTCAATTACTTTCACTAATAATTACATTTTTAATGGAAATTCCATTTTTTAAATAAATTTTTGATAAAATTCTAAGCAAGAATTCAATTATTTTCATAAATAATAAAACTCATCGAAAAATTCCAATTATTTTCAATACTATTTTAAATCAATTAATCGAAAAATTCAATTATTTACAAAAATATTAGAATTTATCACAGGAATTCAATTATTTACAAAAATATTAGAATTTATCACAGGAATTCAATTATTTAAAATAAAATTTTCATAATAATTATTATATTTCGAAAAATTTAATTATTTAAAACAATATTTATAAAATTCTTATAAAGAATTCAATTATTTTTAAAAATAACAAAATTTTTCACAGAAATTCAATTCTTTTTAAACAGTTTAATAAAATATTTCGCAATAATTCAATTCTTTTCGTAAATAATAAAATTCTTCTCAGGAATTCAATTATTTTTGAAAATTTTAATAAAATTCTTTACAACTTTCAATTATTTTCATAAATAATAAAATTCATCGCAAGATTTCAATTATTTTTAATACAATTTTACAGGAATTGATCGAAAAATGTAATTATTCTTAAAAATTTAAATTCAATTTCTCGAAAAAATTAAATATTTAAATAAATGTTTTTTTAATTCTTTTAAAGAATTCAATTATTATTTACAAAAATATTAGAATTTTTCACAGAAATTCAAGTACATATTTTCAAATATTTTAATAAAATTGTTCAAAAAAAGTCAATTATTTTAAGTACAATTTAATTAAATTTTTTTTAAATAATTTAATTATTCTTTTAGATTTTAATAAAATTCTTCATAAGAATTCAATTATTTACATAAATAATTCTTCGAAAGAATTCAATTGTTAAAGGTA